GAGAACCAAACTTTAGTAATCAAATAGGAATTCTAGAAGAGAAGTTACGGAGCAAATCCATTATGTTTAGCAGAAGACTGCAAAGCTCAAAATAATAAACTAAGAAATCAAATAAAAGACCAAAGCACAGAGAGAAAATATGATTAAAATCTATTTTTTAAAAAAGAGCCTGGAATATATCAGCACAATAAAACGTATTTCACACATGTACAATAAAGATCTCAGAAGAATAGAGCAAATGCCACACGAGATAAAAGATGAGAATTTTCTGAAGTTGACAAAAAATGCCGTTCATTTTTCACTCTTCTCTCACTGAGCCAAGTGGTTCACCCCATGTTGATTTTCTCATTTTCAGGAGCACTAAGCCTGAGGTCTTCTGCAAGCCGTTCTCTCTTTCTCCTGCCTCAGTAATTATCAGGCCTAGTGGTGCTCACTCTCAGAGACCCTGTACTCCCTGAAAATTACGTGGGGAGCGTTTTAGAACTATAGACGTCTTCCCCCTTACAATGTGGTTTAACTGACCCGGGCACGGGGAGCTGAGTGTCTGCTCTGTCTGATGCGCTCCTGGGATGACTGTAATGTGCTGCTCTGAGGGCCACAGGCAGCGGCTCGGTTCGGCACCAGGAGAACTAAGAACTGGGAACCCAGCATGGAACCAGATTCTACGCTTCAGACTTATTGATTCCATGGCTGCTATTTGTGTTGTTATTGCTGTACGCCATCAACTGTAGGCTCTTTATGCCCATCCTTTAGCTGTCCGAAAGTCCAAGAAGGAAAGAGAAGAGGGTCATTTATTAGCTCCAAAAACCCCAACAATCTGTTGGCTAAAGGCCTTGATAGTGATTCATTTGATATCAAAACCAAGTGCAGCCTGACAAGTGCTCTTTGTTAATATTTTAATTAGTGTGTGGCTGAATCTCACAACTGTGAAAAGTCAGAAGGCCTTTGTCAATCCCGTCACATTAAAATCCAGGGACATCCTCATGTTGTCTGCACAAGATTCGTGGTTCTCACCATTGAGTTTTACTTGTTTTTCTCCAAGACAGAAACCAACTATAAATTTAGTGGCTCTAACTGGCTGTAAAGTAGGAAAGATTTTAGACTGGTTCAATTGAGACAGATCTACTAAAAAATGAACTACAAAACCATTAAACAGGAGCCTACCACAAATACCTCGTAGGCATCACAAAGAAGATTACCTCAGTGAGCTAAATGATAGCAGAAAAGCGTAGACAAGTGAGTGACAGTCGTGATGGCCCCTTAGCAACACACATTCATTTGACCCAGTTGTCACTAGAAAGACAAGAGTGAAAATCATAAAGGGGATACAGTAGGTAGAAAGATATCTAGGGATAGAAAATTTTAGGGAATGAGGTAATTAAAGATCTCTATTGTATAGCATGGTGACTATAATCGATAATAACATACTGTGAACTTGAAAATCTCATAGGGGAAATCTTTTTCTTCTACCACTCAAAAATGAGTATTTGATTCCATGTGTATGTTTAATTTACTAGCTTAATTTGGCCATTTTGTAATGTTGCAACCAGCAAATGCCATTATGTATATCATAAACATAACTTCATCTACTCAAAGTTTTAAATAAATAGAGAAACAGGTGTCTATGATTTGGAAATTATTGTTGCTTCAAGAAAAGATGTAATTAAAGTTCTGTGGGTTTTAAATGATAACATTTTTTGTTAGAGTTGGTCAGAGTGAACTGCACTGCTCCAGCCTATGCCGTCATAGACTTCAGTGCATTTGTCCATAATGACACAGATGTGTTACCACAGAAAGAGCAGCTGAAACCCACTCTGTGGACCCTTGCCAGCTTCCATCTCTAGTCCCTACCCTGCCACTGAGCAAGAACATCAGGAGATTGCCAGAAGAGAGGCAAAGGTGGAAGACACGTGGTCCTAACAAAAATACAGCAAGTTTGGTTTAATAAATAAATGGGTCTTACTTTGCTGTATACCGATATCCTCCAGGGTAAAACTGCCCATCTTCAAGGGAAGCTCTTTAAGATGTGGGATATTAGAAGGGAGATGGAACATTCCACCCTGCAGGGAAGCAAGCCACTCAAAGGTTTCAGGAAGTCCCTGAAACTGACAAGATTCAGTAAGTCCCTAGCTCCCCATACATGCAACACTAAGGATGGCTGAGAGACTCTCAAACAAGCTCATCTGCCTAAAAGAGGCTCAGACTATTCAAGTGGACTGGAAGAAGCAGAGTCCAGCTGAACTACCCAGAAAAGATACTCCCCAACCTGTTAATTGCCTCCAGGTTGAGCAGGGAGCTTTAGGTCCCCCACTTACATCAGCTGTCACCCATGCTGGGGCGGGTTTTAGGGATGCAGCTGTTTTTGAGTCATTTCTAGTGCTGTAAGTAACCCCTCACCTATATTCCTACAAGTAACTGTGATAAAAACTCATTGGTTTACCAGCTTGAACTCTGGTGGCATCCATGCTCTGGTCTGTCATCAGTTTCCTCTCTGGAATAAGGAGACAATTGTCCATGTCTCCCCAGGAATAGTGTCACACAGCATCTTTCTGGAAAAGACTTAACTATATGTTGAGGGAAATACTATTTAGAAATGCCTTGGATAACTTCTAAGTGCCTTACGCAGATTTTCTTAGCTCATCTTCAGAGTGACTATATATGAAAGTATAAATGCAATGCTCTAACATGGCTTTGCCTGATTTCTGCCTAATGAATTCTTTTTAGTTTTTAAAGTAAATCATTCTAGTGAAAGGTTTACAGAAATGTTTTTCAGTCTGAGGGTCTACTACAACATTTATTTTGTCATTCATTCACATGAGAAAACTTTGACAAAAAGGATTTATTAAAGATGAGGCCTTTCATGTGTAACAAAATCAATTACTACGAAAAGAAATAATACTTAATTTGGAGATATAAATCAAAATTCTTCTACACCTATATTAACATATAAATGTGAGCCAGCAAGATGGCTCAGCTGGTAAAAGTCGTGGCTAAGCCTTTTGACTTGAGTTTGATTACTGGAATTTACATGGTAGAAGAAGAAAAGCAACTCCCACAAGTTCTCCTCTGATACACACACATGCATATAAATATTGTGTGTGTTAAATAGATATATATAGTGTGTGTTAATATATTAACATATTTTATAAAGCATATAAAATGTGTAAATACCCAAATGAGTGAGACTCTAGCTTCACTGTACACTCTAATACATAAGTATCTCCTCAAGGTCTATGTGTTAAAGGCTTAGCTTCCCAGCCTGTAAGACCTAGAAAAATTTAGGTCATTGGTCCCCACCTCTTTTGTCCTCTTCTTTCCCTCTCTCCCCTTCTCTCTCTCTGTGTCTGTCTCTCTATCGCCGTCTCTTTCTCTCCTCCTTTCTTCCCCCCACTATGTGTGTATATATGTGACTGTCTGTGTGTCCGTCTGTGTGGGTCTGTGTGAATGTAGACACTCAAGTACCAGAGAACATGTGTGAAGGTCAGTGGACAACTTTGGGTGTCAGTTCTCTCCACCCACTTTGCTTGAGGCAGGATCCCGTGCTGCCTACACCTGGCCGACTGGGCTGTGAGATCCAGGGACTCTTCTGTTGATGCCTCCCACACCACCTCAGGCATGCTGGGATTATAAATGCACACTACTGCACCCTGCTTTATGTGGGTTCTGAGGAATCTGAAATCTACTACTCGGTCCTGCCCAGCAAGTAATTCACCCACTGAGCCATCCACTTCCCAACACACATTCTTGTTTCTTTAACTTCAAAAACTCAGAAACTGAGCTCCATGGAGAAGATAGGAAGAGATATGCCATTAGGGACTTAATTCCACAAGGGTTATTCCCTCACAGACTATCTCAAAGAAAACAGCCTTGACCCGTAAAACATTCATCTCACAGCACTCTCACACCCCAATATCTTCCCTGGTTTCCCTAGTTTGTTGCTCCAATATCTTCTTACCCATCTTCTGACCCCAGGAGCATCTTATGGTGGAAGAGAGCAGTAACTGGATCCACATTCCTAACAGCAGGAAGAAGTCATTCTACAGTTCCAAATGATGTGTTCGCTTCATTCTCATGGACCAAAATTATTACCATGGCCATGACTAGCTGCAAAGTCTGCAATACAAATCCCTCTAACTGGGCGCATTACTCAAGATTCCGCGTTGCAGAAGAAAATGACTAATGGGTGTGGGCCATGTAAAATGTAGAAAACATATTTGAAATCCTATGCAATTGAGCAAAATTCAGCTTTCCCACCTGTGTATTAGATAAAGTTTGAGTGAAGGAAAGTGCCAAGAGAGAACAGGAATAGATAAGAGACCTGAGAGGTTTTGCCTAGCTTTTGCCTGAGACTACAAAGATGAGATTGTCACTCCAGAGGACAAGTACCTAGATTCCCATCTGGCTTCCATGGAGGGAACAATATCCTCCATGCTTAACTCCTGGACAGTAAAGTCACCTACCTGTGCCCAGAATGTAGCAAGTAGAGTGTAGTAGGAAGGCAGCTTGTTTGTTTCCCAGCTGCCCAGACTCCTGAAATAATCACGCAGAAACTGTATTAACTAAATCAGTGCTTGGCCCATTAGCTCTAGCTTCTTATTGGCTAACTATTGCATATTAATTTAACCCATTTCTATTAATCTCTGCATCACCATGAGGTTGTGGCACTCTTTCTCTGGCAGTGGCTCCATGGCTTCTCCTGACTCTGCCTTCCTTTTCCCAGCATTCAGTTTAGTTTTCCCTGCCTAGCTTTGTTCTACCCTCTCAGGCTGAGCCAGTTTCTTTATTTACTAATAGACAGGATACAGAGGGGAATCCCACATCTCCCCTTTTCTGTTCAAATAAAAAGGAAGGTTTTGACTTTACTATAGTAAAATTCATGTAACAAAACAGGTATCAAGTAATAATTATGGTTTTAATATTTATATCTACTTTATCTTTTACTATAACTAAGAAAAACTATAACTATAAATTCTTCAACTCTATCAAGGACTCCAGAAGGATATAATATTGCTTAAGTAAACAGGAAGTGCATTGTAAGCAACTTCCAAAACTCTAGAAATGACAGAGACATCTTGCTGCCTGGATAGTCACGCAAAGTTCTTCTGTCCCATTAGGGCATCCATCTTCAGTCTATGGACCCATGGTATCCAGCAGATTTTTCCATGAAGCAGGAAATTTCAAAGACAGTTCCACCTATTTTGGCAATTTGTCACTCACTTTCTTCTGTGTCCTGCAGAATGTCTGGCAGACTCTTTCATGAAGCAGGAATCCCGTAGGATCATCCCACACTTAGGCAAGTTCAGCAGTCATTTTTCTGCAGGTCCTGCATTTCCAGTTCATACAGCATACCACCAAGCAGTGCAGTCAAGAGCAGTTTCTTGCCCAAATAGCTAGCAAACTCCATGAGGATCCTCTTCAATGCCCATCATCCTCTTGAAGTAGATTGGTGCTGCCAGGAGCAGAGTGTCTCATTGTCATGAAAAGTCCTAAGCTGGACAAACATAATACCTTAATCAAGATCAGAAATATATATATATATATATATACAGTATAACAAAATTGACCTTACATTTGTATCAATAAAACAAAATCCATACCAATGCAAATTTCTATAGCATATTCCCCTTTAAATGTAAACAAACATTTATAAACAAATATTTAGGGAAATTGGGCATAGATCTCTCCACACTGCTTCCTGCTTTTTGCTGGGCAAAGTCTTTTTGGAGGGTGTTCATGGTAACCTTTCAGAGGTCCTAGTTCATCAAACCACATTAGTCAGGAAGAATTCCACAGGTTCTCATCTTCTGTGGAAACAAAAGAAGAACCTCTTTTTCAAAGCAACATATCCTTAGATCCATATTTTGAAATTAAGATACCTTTAAAGTATGCATGTTGGCTTAGTTTAACAGTTCCCAGAATCAAATGTCTCTCTGAAGTCAAAAATGTTCAAAGAAAACACAATAATATACACAATCCAGACTCTCTGTGTATAGTCCATCTTTAGGTGGCTTAATTTTTCTTTATTCCTTTGAATCTATGACTGTCTGTACTCTGTCTCTTTAAAGACTTTGTTTTATTTTTTTAAATGATTTACTTCTTTTCCAACTCTCTATACATTTTTTCTTCTCTCTCCCAACCCTACGTACATTTATTCAACACTGTGACCCATTTAGAGGTCTTTTTTTATCTGGATTTGTCTTTATTGCACATCTGTAATCCATTTCTGACAAGGACAGCTTCTTAAAATGCTAAGTACTTCTTTAAAAACTAGCCTTGCTAGGGCAAACAAAGCCCTACCTGCTTGCTCCACCCAGTCCAGCACTGTGTAACCCTGCCCACAGAGATTCACTGAGAACCACACTCTGCGATTTGAGTGGCAGACAATCATACCAGCCTGAAGCAAGGCCTAGGAAAATGTCAGATAAAATTTCCTTTTAAATGACAATGAAAAGTATCTTAGAATTGAGATAAGAAGAAAGCTGCAATAATGAGAAGCTGTTAGTAGAAATAATTTTATCAAATACCATTTTGTTGACTAATGTAAGCATAGTGCCAGGAGAGAATGACAATTTGTTTTTTGTCTTAGGGAAAAACAAATTACAAACTAGAAGGAGAGGAGATTTTCATATGGCTCTAGTTAAAAGTTCAGTAATTAATTATTTTATTTTTTAACCCGAACTATAAATTGTTCTTTCGGCTTTTATGAAGTTTTCCTCTTTGTTGTTTGTTTAGTTTTGAAGCAGGGTTTCACTGGGTAAATCCAGCTCACCTTGAACTCCTATCCCTGTCTCAGTCTCCTGAATGCTGGGGTCACAGGTTAGTGCCATCATGTTTGGCAAGCCTTAGCAATTCTGCTGGGTCGGTTGACTATACTAGGCCCAATTACAGCATTGATGGCAAATTTGAAAATGACAGCACAAGTTTCCCTGGGTCAGAAATTGTTCACACAGAATTGTTCATACGGAATTTTTTATTTTGTACAGATTCCTTTGCAATCTAAGCCAAGATTGGAAAGAACAAAGAAAAGAGAGTAGGAGAAGATAAAATGAAAATCAAAGAGAGAGAAAGAGAATGAAGAGTAAAGGACAATGGAAGGTCGACTAGAGTAAACTAGGGAAGAGTTTCCAAAGTACATTCCAATTTTTGAAGCCAGGGTGTAGCTCCGTGGTAGTGTATGCACAGTGTGAAGCCCTGAGTTTAGTCCCTAGCACACCAAAAAAAGAAAAAGAAAAGGAAATAAACAAATGAATAAATAAAAAGAAAAGAGGAGGAGGAAGAAGAGAAAACAAGAAAAAAATAAATTTCACAATCATATTGAGGTATAAATTACACACAGAAAGCTGTAGTTATTCCAAATGTGTGGTTTTCTCAGTTCTGATACACACACATCCACCAAAGTCACCACTGAACACAAGTTCACCACTTCTACCTCTTCCTAGCCCCTCCAGAGCTCTTCCTGTTTGGCCATTATTATGAGGTTGAGTTTTAAGAAATTTATATGATGACATAATATTGCAACATTTTCTGTTTTATGGTACAGCACCTTTCAGCATAATTGAGATTTGTATATGTTCAGTAGCTTTTTGTCTTTGGTACAGTTATGTCTCCACATAGTTGTGCCACAGGCTTACCGAACTTGACTTGCTCAAAATAAATGTTATTACCTTCTCCTGACCAAAGAGTCCTCTCCAGATTTCCTCACCTGGCATCATAATAGGAGCATCTTCCCAGGATCCAGCCTCATTCTTCCCCCTCGATCTGCTCGTGTCCAGTTATCACAGACTCCTGCCAGTAAAGTCTGTAAATAGCTTCCTGATGCACCCATTTCTTTGTGTCTCCATGGCTACCAAACAAACGAAACCATTATCATTTCTTTCCCCACTTTCTTGGGAATCTTCCCGTGCCCATTCTTTTCTTCCTATTAGCAGTTCCCTTGTGATGGCCAGGATGGACGATTTCTTTCTAGAACACAATCCTCCAATCTGCAGCTTCAAGTCTTGTTTAACATAGTTTTGTTATTCTTAGGATTTGAAGACAAAGCTTTGGCTTGGCTCACTTGAGTGCTTCCTACTGACCTTTCTATGTAGACCGACCTCTGGCCTAGTCCCAGAGTCGACAGTGACTCCATCACAGTTTCTAACTCCTCTGGCATTCCCCCATCTCAGCCCTGAGCCCATCAGCAAATCACAATTCCTGCCGTTAGGATACTATTCAAATAAACTACCATTATTTTAATGTTAATATTTGTATTTCTTTCTGAGATAAAGTCTTGAGCCTACAACCCTACTTCCTTAGCCTCCCAAGTGCTGGGGTTATAGGGTTAAAGCCGTACATTGGGTTCGGCTACCATCGTTTTTAATCATTTCATCTGAACTGCTGCCACAAACCAGTAAGGAGAAAATTAATTTAAATCCATTCACCTTCTCTCTCCCTCCTTCCTCCCTCCCTCTCTTCTATCTCTCACCTCTGCCTCCCATTCAGCTGTTTTCCAAGAACTCACTGGTCTGTGTGATGTTTTCTAGCACAATCAAGCCAGCACCTGGTTGCTGTCTCCCTTCTCCTGGCTGTCCATTGCAGTTACAATACAACCCAAAGTCCTCCACACTGACCACAAGGTCCTGCTTGATCTGGCTCTGCTCACACTCTCTTCTCACCTTCTACCACTGCGTCTTCTTCCACTCTGCTCTAGCCTTGACGTCTTCCTAGCCGTCTCTTCTTGACTCAATGGATTCCATTGCTCTTTTCTTGGAATGCTTTCCAGCTTCTGAATGACTGGTCCTTATCTTCTCATTGCCAAAAAGACCATTTTTCCTCTTCTAAGGAGGTCCTCAGAAGGAGGTTCAGAAGGAGGTCCTTCTGTCTGTGTGTTGCTTTTATTGGTTAATGAATAAAGAACTGCCAAAGATAGGTGTGCTGAAACTTTGCTGGTAGGCCATGACCTCGTGGTGACACACAGATTAATAGAAATGGGTTAAATTAAGATGTAAGTGTTAGCCAATAAGAAGCTAGAGCTAATGGGCCAAGCAATGATTCAATTAATACAATTTCTGCATGATTAGTTTGGTTCTGGGTGACTGGGGCAAACAAGCGGCCTGCTGCTACACTATCCTTTGTCTTTTATTTCCTCAAAACCCGTTACTCAGCATGCTAAATAAGTGTATTGACTATTTTCTACCAAGTGTGCGTCTAGCGAAGCGGTGATTGTGCTGCTTACAGTGTTCTTAGAGAAGCAATATACAATTTCCCATTGAATACAGGAGCTATCTGAAATTAATTTATGCGCCTTACCTATGTCTTCATGTTTCCACCACTTTGCTCTATAACAAACCCTTAAAGACCCAGCAATGTAGAGGAAGAGAGATTAATTCAATCACCATTTAAAATCATAACTGATTTTAGTGTCTGTGTTTTCAAATCTCCCCACTTTGTCTCAGAAGTGAGTACCAGTCAATCCTATGTTATACAAACAAACAAAGAAGAACAAAACCTGGAAGCTGGACGTGGTGGCACTGCATTTAATCCCAGTGTTCAGGAGACAGAGGCAGGAGAATCTCTGTGTGTTCAAAGCCAGCCTGATTGATGTACATCGCAAGTTTCAGGTCAGCCAGTGTTAGACAGTGACATCCTGTCTAAAAAATAAAATAAAGATCTACGGAGGATCTGCACATTTTACATCAGAGGAATTGCCAAGGAGATGGCAGAGAACAGACCCCTGCAGAGCCCTTCCTCCACCTCCACCTCCACCAACAGAGATTCTGGTGCTCCCAGGCGGCCCCCGGGCCACTTCTCTGTCCACCCTACCAAGCTGGCCCAGGAAGTCTTGCACAAAGGCTGGATAGCGGAAGTGCAGCAAGGGCTGCAGGGGCTGTTGCAAAATAAACTGTCTTCTTTATCTTTTGTGGAACTAATAGATCAGAATTGATCCACGTTGTGTGAAAATAAAAGAAACAGGAGACCAACCTCAACAGAAGTAGCGTCCTTTTGGTAGAACAATGAGGAACGGCAGTTTTGGGGGAAGTGGAGACTGTACAGAAGCTCGGGGGGGGGGGGGGGGGGGGGGGGGTTATGGGGCAGAAAGAGGAACTTTTGAGGTGGACGGTTCCATCTTCACATCTGTTCCCCTGAAGTCTCAAAGTTGTCAATACAATGGGGTTGGTGTGTTGACCTCCTCAGGAGTGTCCCAGCCCCTAACTGCCTGTAGGTGTTATCAACCCGTGAACTCTCCTGTAGGGAGTTTCTCAGCTAGCCTGAAACTTCTGTCATTAAGTCCTCAGACTAGCATCTGGGTTTAATCTTAGTCCTTATCTTACGAAGAGCACAAAAACCCACATGGGTGAGAAAAGGAGCGGCTTTCTCTTAACCTCAGGGAGGGAAGTGTTTTTTTTTGTTTTTGTTTTTGGTTTTTTTTTTTTCAAAGTGGGGGACACGGGCTTGAAAAAGCAGTCCAAACTTGCCAAACTTGCGGAGTTCCAGAGGCGGAGCTTTGAGTCTGCTTTCAAGGCTCTGCAAGAACTTTGGTGCAAAGCCAGGAGTCTGCGCAGGAGGGGAGAACTCATTGCACTTCCTCCTCGAGCCCGGGTCCTGGCCTCCAGGCGGTCCCAGCCTAGAGAAGACAAGCGCGCGCCTCTCTGCTCAGCTCAGCCGGTTGCACTTTAGAGCAGTCCCGCGCATCTCGGCGCCACCCGGTGCATCTCAGAGCAGCTCGGCACTTCTCGGTGCAGCCCCATCAGCCGTCAAGGTAAGCAGCACACCAGCCCAGAGCTCCGCAGCTCCGGGCATTTGGGCGGCCACGCCGCGTGTCCAATGGGAGTGGACCCGCGCGACACAGGTCCTCGCACTGGCCACGTGAACCCGGGCTCCTTGGCGCACCTCCAAGTCCGGTGCGCAGCCCTTGCACTTGACCTGTGCTGGGTCTAGAGTTCTCTCCTCTCTTGCCCCTGTTCATTTTTTTTTTTCCAATGTAACGAATTTCCTGCTTAGAAAACGCTACCTGTCTCAGGCCTGGGGCCCGTGAGCTGAACTAGCAGCCTGAGACAAGACACCCCCGGGAACATTTTAGGCGACCGCACCGTTAATTGCTAGTCTGAGACTTTTGAGAATTGGCGCATACATACCTCAAAGCGTTCCCTTCATTTACAACTTTGGGAATCTGTGGTTCTGCTTTTTTTGAACATAATCTTTCACTCTTAAATAGTCTCCTTTTCTCTGTAAAATGTGGTGAGGATGAGTTTGAATACCAGACACGGATTTCCTAATTTAGTTTGGAGTCAAGGTGTAGAAAATATTGTAAATCATGAAAGATAGAATGTCTTTGTATCCCCAAGAACCCGGGTACAGGCGCCCGCTAAGACTTACCACGTGTACCTCTTCTTTTTCCCTCGGGGAATGTATTTCACCCCGTGCTGAAGAGTGGCAGGCGCTTTCCTGGAGCCACTCTGCATCGCCATCCAAAGTTTGTGTGATAGAGATGCGAAGTCAGAGAGGAAAGGAATGCCAAGAAGCGGTGGGTGGATCCTCCATATAAGAGAAGTGTGGTGTGAACAAAAACAAGGAAGGCGCTGCTTGTTTCAGAAATCTGGGACTCAAAAACACAAAACTTCAGAAAGGAAACTTTGGGCTTCAGACTAAACCGGGAGTTGTGCCTTGTGGGCCTCACTAAAGCACAGGCTCATGAGCCTTGAGAGGAATGCTGGCTAGCAAGATAGCAGGAGATAGGGAGAGTCCTCTGCGGTGTCCCTCCAGGTGGTGTTTCCTGTCTGCTCAAAGAGCTGCCAAAATGCAATGTCATCTTCAAACTATCCCTTCTTAATTTGTACGTTCTTACAGATGCTTGAGAGACTCAGGTTGTTACTGCACATCGGATACTATAACTAGACAAGGACGAACTTAATTAAATTACATTACTTAAACTGGAACTTGAGTAGTAAATGAGGTTATACTATGTTAGAATGGAGCCATAACTGTGCCTGTGAAAGGGCTGGGGTTGCAGCTGGGCTATGCAGCCCACGCTGCCTGCAGCCCTGTGTCCGGTCCCTGAGGGAAGAGCAGGGTATGTTAACAGTGTAGAATTGAAGGATAAACATTTTCTTTCTGAGAAATACCACTAAGAAGAAAGCAGTTTCTGGTCTCTAAGGAAGTTTGCCAACATTCCGTTCTGTTGCATTTCAAAAGTTCTAAGTTACTGCTTTTGAAAAAGTGTAACTTTGAAATGTGTAGTGGATTACATACAATACTTGCTAGGCTCTGTATCCACCCGGCATGTGTTCTCTGAACTGCTGCTTTCTGAGAATGGATACTAGTTAGTTCTCCACTTGGTTTCACCCTAGGTCACATATAGATGAAAAGCTCTACATATTTCAAAATTACATGGTGAGCAATTTATAAAGTTCATGGCCATGAATGTTTGTGTTAAGCTACTTTGATTTCTCAAAGAGCATTGTTATTTTCCTTTATTTCTGTTTTTTTCTAGTCCTCTTGAATTTCATTTTATCTATTTTGATAAGTAATCCTTTTAATGACTCTACAGGGTGGTTTTTTTTTTTTTTTTTTTTTTGCTTTTTTAATCTATCACACCATAATATTACAGGGCCTCATGAGTGATCTTAGGAACTTTCGAAATAAAATAATTTAAAAAAAATAAGACATGGTTTCATTATACACATAACCTAAAGGTAATTTTATGCATGTTGTATAATTCTATATATGAGAAAAAATGTATAATTTTCTCTAAGTAGCTGGGTGCCTTTTCTCCCCCCCCCCCACCCCCGGAGACGCTGAATAAATCTCTTGGTAGGTCTGTGTTTAAACTGTGACATATCCCATAGGGTTAGGTGAAGCCCTGAGATGGAACAATGTTTATTATTAGCATGATTGATATTTTCAGTATGAAAATATATCTGTTTTTTTAAGTCAATTATCTCATCCCAAATGACAAGTCTGTTAAAGTTCAGGCATTATATGGCTGCAGATATAAAATAAACATAAATTTTAAGATTTTAAGGTATTTGGTGGGGAAATTGATTGTCTAGTGAAGTTTATATGCTAAAGTATAGTTTTAATTATCAGGAAGCACGGCTTTCAGAGGCAAATTTATGTATCTGACCTTGGGACTGAATGTTTCAGTTTGATACATTTCTCTAGGGAAGAGAGAAGAGCAGCGCGAAGACACAAGGCCACCTCCACCAGTTCAAGGACCTGTATTGTCCTTCATGGGCAAGGGCCTGAGGACAGTGGGGGATTGGAGACTAGAGCTCACCACTGTATGCCCACTTCAGGGCCAAATTCTGTCACCATAGTTCAGGTTCAAAACATGCTAGCTAAGTCAATTCCACTTCTCAGGGGTACCAGCAAAATGTCTCAAGCCCCCAAACCCAGTGTGCTAATTGGTCCCAATTCTAAGGCAGGAGGGGAGATAAAATACCGCACCAGGCCATCAAACTTCTCAGTACAGACAATGCAGCTTCAGTCCAGGACAGTTTCCACACATTTCCTGAGCACTGACTATGAAGCTGGGTCACTGAGAACTATATCATGAGACCCATTTCCTTCTTTCTCTGTCAGCCTGGGTTTCTTCTTGATCACCATGCAACGGTAGTATATAATACTTATTGCTTCTGATTGAGCTTATTGTTTCATTATCCAAGTTCTTGAGACCAGGAGTTTCATGTTTTGAATATTGGAGGACGAGGGATAGAATGTTTGCATATACATGTGATATCACGAGGATTGATTATGAGCATGGAATTCATTTGTTTCATACACACTTTATACACATAGATGGATGGTATTTTATGCAAATAATTTTGTGCATGAAAGAGTTTATATATTTCAGCTAACAGTGATGATGGGTATTGCCCCTCCTTGGGAAGGCTAAATAAACTTGGTTCTGTGCCTGTATATTTTCTTTACCTTTTTAATTTTTTTATTTATGTGCATTTGTGTTTTGCCTTCACGTATATCTGTATGAGGGTCTCGGGTACCCTGGAACTGTAGTTACAGACACTTGTGAGCTGCCGTGTGGGTGCTGGTCTCCTGGAAGAACAGTCAGTGTTCTTAACTTACTGCTGAGTGATCTCTCCAGTTTCCCATGCCTGTATTTTGACTCTGAACTATCACGTGTGGTCAGGTGTTGAATTTTCAGTTTGTAGCTTCATGCTGGTGCTCTGAAATGTTTCAGATTTTGGAAGATCTGGGATTTGAGGTTTTCAGAGTTAAGGATGCTTGGCTTGTGTGGTGTACCGGACACTGAGATGGCTGAATTATGACTCAATTGATCCATCTTTGTCTAGACTGGTACCGCTGCTACTCCACTGTGTCACTGACAAATGAAAGAGCAGAGAGTTTAAACAGTGTGCATAGAGAGAAACATGTAGACAGAGCTGGTACTGACCTGGGCGAGCTTGATAACACTACCCTCAGTCAAGCACCAGGGCCCAGATGAGGGAAAAGAGGGAGCCAATCTTCAGTGCGCTTGTAGCCTCAAACTGGGGAGAAAACCAGACAGTGATAATTTTCCATGTGACTGAAGCTGTGTCTGTGTGACCACATAGCAGGTCCTGACAGCAGACCAGAGCGAGGCAGGAGGATGATGAAAGACAAGCAAGCAGAACAAACACACAACGACACACTTGCTTTGTTATAGATGAAAGACAAGAGAGATATCACCCTCAGTTTTAAAGTTATTGCCTTTATCTTTTGAAAAGTAATCTCCTCTGACCTAATCGTGATTTCCTTCTTATCTTTATTATACTCAAATTTCTCTGCTGGCCTTCTGACTTGATTAAATCAACAAAGTAGTAAATCTAATCCTTTCTCTAACTCTAGTGGAAATCTTTCTGATTTGGTCTTATATCACAGACTCATCAGAGATATGCCTGTGTGCTGGGCGGAAGATAAGTGCTTAATTCCAGTGGCATTATGTTCCCATGCAGGGGCTGGAAGATTGATGTCCAAGTAACAACATCCTGCTAGGCTAGAGAGAAATTAAAGTTGACACTGTAACAAGTGAGCCGTGATTGGGTATTTTCCCTTAATTTTTATTATGAAAATTTTCATGTATACAAAAGAGGACTGTATATTCATGTATACCTATACAATGATATATACACTTATGTATAAGTGTATAATGTATATTATATTTATAATGGTGTGTGTGCTCTCCTCAGACTTGAGGTATCATGTCTCTAAAGATTAAGGTCCAAACATGCCAGCTCACCTAGGACTTTCCATCTCACACCAGGCCCTATCAATTCCCCTGAACACGTCTCCTAGACAGGGTCACTATTGCTGTCAGGAAACACCAGGATTAAAGCAGGTTGGGGAGGAAAGGGTCTATTTGACTTATGCTTCCAAATCACTGTCCATCATCAAAGGCAGTCAGGACAGGAACACAAACAGGGCAGGAACCTGAAGGCAGGAAATGACACAGGCCATGGAGGGGTGTTGCTTCCTGACTTGCTCCTTGTGGCTTGCTTAGCCTATTTTCTTGTAGAACCCAGGACCACCGTCTAGGGGTGGCCCCACCCATAATGCACTGGGCCCTTCCCCATCAATCACTGATAACAATATGCCCTACAGGCTTTCCTCGGACAGCCTGATCTTGTGGAGGTATTTTCTCAATAGAGGCTCCTCTCAGATGACTCTAGCTTCCTTGACAGAAAATGGTCCCTTTAAACTAGTCCATGCCAGCCACCAAGAGACTGCTCTAATGCTTGTTAGGTCTTTTCAGCTTGTTTTGAATGTGGATCCCAACATCTCCCTCACTGCTCAACTCCTTTACGAGAGTACGAAGGGCTCTTAAGAGGAGCCTCTTTGCTCCCTCCTCAAGCCTCTATCTAGTCAAAGCCAAACCTCTAGCCCAAGGAGCCATTTCCCAGCAAGCCAAATCCACTGCCCTTACACCGGCTAAAGATCTTTCTGCTAATGTATATTCAGACTCAAAATATGCATAGAACAGAATTCATTTATGTATTCTAATTTGGAAGGGGAAAGGCTTCCTCACTCAATAATTAATGTGTCCCTTGTCCAGGGTGCTGGATGGTGCTGGATGCTGTCCTTTCTTCTTCCAACACAACAGTAATCCATCAAAAAGACTAATAGTGACTCTCTCTCTCTCTCTCTCTCTCTCTCTCTCAACAAAAAATGCTGATAAACTAGCCCCAAAATAGCTCTTACACACCAGACCTTCATCCACCCCCTCCTGCCCTGTCACCCAGGTTCTATCACAATGCACCCCTTAATTCATCTATCTAATCAAACTCGAATTTCCTCCCTACACAGTCGTGTTACCCTTCAACCCTGAGATGGGCAGCTCCTTAAAGCAAAAAAAAAAAAAAAAAAAAAAAAAAAAAAAAAAAA